TAAACCATATCGTGAGATAAGTTGGTATTAATTCACTGATGAAGGTCATCTAAACCATATCATGAGATAAGTTGGTATTAATTATTGTTGAAGGTCATCTAAACCATATCGTGAGATAAGTTGGTATTAATTATTGTTGAAGGTCATCTAAACCACATCGTGAGCTAAGTTGGTATTAATCACTGATGAAGGTCATCTAAACCATATCGTGAGATAAGTTGGTATTAATTATTTACATGATGGGATAAGTGTTAAACCTGTTACCTCCGGAAATCCACATGATATGTACGTGCACAAGAACTGGTATTTTTCTTTAAAAAATTTTCATCTAAAGTTATGTCAGGTGACACGATGGTCACACCAAAATGTTGCAAGTAAAGAATTCCTAGCACCACATGGCAGTTGTAAAGAAAAACTTATATTTTGCTTAAAAACTCAATTTTTTCGAGCAAACCTGACTCGTAGAATTCAAAAACAATATACCATTTCTATCTATATGTTGTTTTGAACCGAATTTTGTGCCTTTACAAAAAAAAATTGTGTATTTTTGTTGAAATCTTTTATTTAAAGCAAATGTATTTCTCTATTTTTAGTCAAAGATATTTCAGTGTATCTTTGACTAAGGATTATCCTTGGTTTATTCAAAATGTCTCATTTTTAGCAAGAACATATAGAAAAAAATTTAACCATCTTATAGTTTGTACACGTGTAATAAACATACATCATAATTAGCGTTTGCTTTACGTTACAGACGATGCACATGAACGAGATTCGAACGGTGGATCGTCGACCCTTGCCAGAAAGCTTCGACTCCCGTCGACGGTGGCCAAGAATGATTCAAGAAATTAGGGATCAGGGAGAGTGTGGGTCATCTTGGGCCTTTTCAAGCTCAGGTATTGTTTTTTTTGTAATGCTTCCCTCGAGGGTAGTTTATTACATGTTTTGTCTCCAGTCCTATGATGCCGATCTAACTCGGGTTAACTAGGACTTATAAAACTGTAAATCTCTAACTTGTAAATTCCTCCCTCTATAAAACTAATATTAAAATCTGGACACCATGGCCAGCAATAGGAATTCCTAATAGACTACGTAGTGTTATATCATCAGTTATTGCTTCTGTCTGTTTGAAACTTTGTTTTAATCTGTTTAATATGGATACGGAGAAAATGGTGTGGTTGGTTGATTTTGGACGAAGAAACCTCAAAGTGTTTACATGGATTTGGGACAATATTGGATAGAGTAATGCTTGTGTCAATAAAGGCTAAACTTTGCAATAATACAAGTCTATGCACCAACAGTCGAAGAAACAGAAATGTATGACGGAGGAAATCCTTGGTAGATAGAGATCTGTGGAAGACCATGGTCACCAACGTCCTGTTTGGATATGGTACATATAGAGTGAGAGATCTGTAGAAGACCATGGTCACCAACGTACTGTTTGGATATGGTACATATAGAGTGAGAGATCTGTAGAAGACCATGGTCACCAACGCACTGTTTGGATATGGTACATATAGAGTGAGAGATCTGTAGAAGACCATGGTCACCAACGTCATGTTTGGATATAGTATATATAGAGGGAGATTGTGTGTGAATGTGGTTGGTATACTATTAATATACATTCTTCTAATTTTTAAAAATCTCTAAGATACTAGATATAAAATACACTTATAAAAATATAATAGGTCTAATACTAATGGCTGATGACAAGTAAATTGATTATAATCATTCTTGGCCAGCTTGAAAGAGGCGTTCACACCATAACGTTATCTTATCTTTAATATTTGGTTTCTATAGCATTAGCTTCTGATCGTAGAGCCATCCAGTCGAGAGGACGAGAAAGAATAACATTGTCTCCTCAGCATCTTATTTCTTGCAACACCAGAGGGCAGCAAGGTTGTGAAGGAGGCCATATAGACAGAGCTTGGTGGTTTTTACGAAACCAGGGGTAACTAATAAGTTCATTAATGATTATAAGTGACGTTTGTTAATCACGATTACTAGTTTATAATTTAAAAGTGACCTCTCGTGTTGTTTTTTTTTCACTAAATACATTATAGAAATTGCGATCTATCAGAGAAGAATACGTAATATTGGTATTCTTGAGAAATTATTCTCTTTGGGGGGTGGGGGTTTATTTTCATCAAAACAACATCTCGTGTTGATCACCGTCTTTCTCACTGTTTAACATATTTCATTATACAATATTTCTAACATTTTAGGCTTACGTCAGACCAGTGCTATCCTTACACAAGTGGACACTCGGGTCACAAAGGACACTGCAGAATTCCTCGTGGACGACATAAACGTTTCCGGTGTCCATCTGGTATACAGGACGAACAGTACAGATCAACCCCTCCTTATCGGGTTGGTCCATCGGTAAGAAACTGTTAAAATATCTAGATATATATATATATCGTATTCCCTGGTAATACCACTAAAAAAAAAAAATACAGATTTTTTTTAGAACCTATCAGTTAAAGTGATTTTCCGCAATTTTGAATATTAACTGGTACAAAATAACGCTAATGCGTTTTCCCCCAGTGACACAGCGGTAAGTTTACCGACTTTACAACGCTAAAATCCGAGGTTCGATTCCCCCACGGTGGACACACAGCGAATGTCAAATGTGGCTTTCGTCTAAAATAAACAAACAGTGTAATGTGTTTGTAGACAACCGTGATGAGGAAATGGTTATAGGAGTAATGTTTTAGAGTTAGTGCCATTCTGACTTTCATGACCGTCAGCCAAACCCAGCTATATAGCGAGAGGCGTAACCTGATTTAATTGTTCATTTCACTATCGTGGTGTACGAAAAACAACAAACGCAGTTTGAGGTGGAAAATGTGATTGAATTAATCTTGATACATTTTAAACGTTGATTCAACAATTCGAAAAGTTGATCGCTTCACTGAAACGTTTAAAGAAGATTTTATAAGTACACGTTCAAAGAGTCAAATTAATTGGATGATGTTGGTCTTATAAGTGGACGTTCACACAATAAAAAAAATGAAGAGCAAACAATTAAGTGATGAGTGACTGGAATTTGTTTACTTGCTGATATTAAATGTCATATTTAAGTCACTAGATGTCGCTTCTCTTTGTTGGGGCGTACCTTGTGTAGTTTACATCTGTAAGCATATTAAAGTAGACGTCAGTTTGTGGTACTTGGAAAGATGAATATACATACCTTCACTGTATCTTTGTGAGCTGACCACTACGGGTATCGAAACCCAAACTTTAGCGGTATAAGCCCTCAGATTTACCGCCGAGGGAGAGGCTCAACGAACTTAATAAAACAAAATGTTGACCAGCTATTACTTTTACACTAAAATACATACCTTGTTTCAGGAATGATCAAAAGTTTACAGCATTTTAGCCATGACTTAAAAGAAAAACGAATTGTAACCTCAGCTGCATCAGTTCCCCAGTTAATATGTTCCCCATTCTCGTGATTTACATTGTATCTTGGAATGTTCAGGATTCATTAAACTGGATGTATGCCCGAAGTGATTCTCATAAACCCTCTGCCCCATTCCCAGGTTTTTGGTTGATGTTTTAATTAATTTAATAAAAGCGATAACATATAATTATTTTTGATTAACGTGGACCCATAGCTATGGATGACGGTATATTTCAAAGCAGTGTTGTTGTTGTTATCCTCTTTTTCCATCAGTATCAGTAAAAAAAAAGGTTTTCCTAAACGCACTTCGTATAGTGGATGATGAACGATTTTGTAAAATCAAATCTACATTTCGGTGTTCCAACTATTTTTAACTAAGAAAAGAAAACAAAAAACTGCCCTACGCTCAGAGTTTACTCAATTGATAAAAAATTGGGTCTCAAATACTTAAAAGAAAAGCGGTTCCAAATATTTGGCTCTTAAATTTGTAAAATTGCTTCAGTATTCTGTTAAAGTAACGCTTCTTAATATCGCCAAAAGCTAAAATCATAAATAATATTCAACGTTAAAACTGGTACACAATTAAAAATATTTTATTTAGGCCTAAATATGGCCTTCAAGAAGTTGACGATTCTACGACGATTATTGTATTTTGTCACTTGTGTATAAAGTTAAAATCATAAATAATATTCAACGTTAAAACTGGTACACAATTAAAAACATTTTATTTAGGCCTAAATATGACCTTCAAAAAGTTGACGATTCTACAACGATTATTGTATTTTGTCACTTGTGTATAAAGTTAAAATCATAAATAATATTCAACGTTAAAACTGGTACACAATTAAAAACA